TATCAACATTTTACTATCCAAGATGTTACCCAAAGACGTAAAATATGTTAGCTTTTGGATTGTAGTCACTACTATCAAATATTGTAAAAATTAAATGTGAGCGCATGCGCTGATTGTGGTGTATACTTCGCCTATTTAATTGCGGTCCTTGTGTTTTCACGCACGTGTTTATATATAGTGAAAAAAGTTGCGAATAAAAAAATTGAAGAGTTTGTTAAAAATTTATTAATGTCGTGGAATATGGAATCTTTGATTCCATCTTTTGGAGGTAGGTTTATTATTTTGATTGAATTAGCGAAGACTGAAGTGTGAACGTGTTTATAACCTCAAAACAATTTTGCGTTGTTTAGACGGTGAAATTGATGAAGAATCGTTTTACTTACTGGACAATGATACAATATCACTCATTATACCAAAACCAGAACCTCGCTTAAAATTTTTTAAAAAATTTCAAGATTACAAAAATCAAGTAAGTTTTTTTTCGTTTGTATAAATATACATGTGTTTATTGAAATTTTTTTTTGGAAAAAAACTTTTTCATATTTTTTCTTACTTTTTTTAAACTTAAAAATTAGTAAAATAATACAAATTCAATTGACTCTGTGAAAAAAATATACCGTTTGATAAATATATTTATGTTTAAGCAAGTCCTTTTTATAGACGGAGTGAAAAAATAGACATACTCTTTTTTATGTAAAAAGTTTAAAGTTTAAATTCTTATCGAAATGTCTTATTAAAATAAAATGAAATTATTTAAGTTTACAAAAAAAGCGAGGTTAGGTTCGTGTATATTTGCCACTCGAGAACGTAAAGAGATCGTATAAAATTTTTAACATCAAAGATTGTAAATTGTACAATCAAATTTCTATAATCATCTGATAGTAAATACTACAATCTATATCGCTGTCTGTATATTTAGCACTAAATATGGTTGCCCTTAACATCATTATGTTACCCAGTAGCATAAATTTCTCTCCGTGTAGCTGAATACGTATACCTATATATATATATATATATATGGAAAATAAGCTTGCGCTTATAAAAATCTCAAATTATAATGTCATACAAATTGTCATTAAAAAGAGCGGAAAATTATTTTTTAAGTTAAAAAAAATTTTTCTGGCTTTTTGAAAGTTGAATTTTTTTAAAAATTTTAATTACTGTAATTATTTAAGTAAATTTCATTAAAATTGATTAGATAGTTCAAAAATGGAAATTTTTAAATGAGAAAAATTAATTTCTAAATTTTTCATTCTTACTCCATATAAATCTGAAAAAAATGCATTTTTTTCAAATAATACTTGATAAAATTTTTTTTTTTTTGACACATTCATGTCGACTTGTGACATTAATTTCAGATTTTTATGAACAGAGACAGATATATTGAATGCTTTATCCGCTAAGCCCTTTGAGCAGCACACACAGACACACACACACTCTTTGAATTATGATTGAAAAAAATTCTGTTTTTATTAAAATTCTTCGAAAAGATTTTATTATATATTCATTTATCTTCGATACTTTTTGCACTTCATTAAACATACATATAATGCCAAAGCAAATGTACTTCACTACATAGGTAGAGAATCTTGACAAAATAATAAAAACAACAATAAAAAAAATAAAATAATAATATAATAACAATAATATCTATTAATAATAAGTGGTAATAGTAATAATAATAATAACAATAATATTTGATAGGAAGAAAGTTTTTAGTATTGCACGTAACAATTTTAATTTTCACGCATTACTATCAATAATTGTTGAAATTGCATTTTTATTGATTTTATTTTATTGACATAAAGTCGGCTTGAAAAATGGAATTCAGAAGAAAAGAGGTCAGGACAAAGTCGTTAAAATGTTATTACGTCACTCGATAATGAACAAACGAAAATCCTTTTTCATTAAAAGTTATGGTCTCATTAAAAATTAGTTACAGTGTTTTTTTTTATTACAATTAAAATATTAGTTTTCATTAATGATGAAAAATTAATTTGAAATAATTTTATAAATTTATGTTTGGAAAAAGTGTACACATTTTTTTGTATAACACTATGAATGTAATAAAATTTTTTTTTAATTAAAAATTCTGTTAAATAAAAATATTATTCTTTTTGAACATTAAAATTTTTCCACCAAAAAAAAAGAATTATGTTAATAAGAAAAATTGATAAATAAAAAATTTTCGATTTTTAAAAATTATTTTAAAAATCTAAATTTTACCTTAAAAAAAATTCGACTAAAGAAGAATCCAATTTTTTGTGAGTTTTGTATTCACAGAATTAAAAAAAAAAAGGAAATGAGCGTTGTGGCATTTTTAAAAGAATTTTTGGTGATACGTTTTAAAATTCCGGATGTGCTGTAGTTATTCTATACACAAACTAGACGATTTACGCTATCAACGCTTAAAACAAAAAAAAAAAAAGGTTTCAAAAAAAGTAAAAAAAAATTGAAGTGAAAAATGTTCGTAACTGTAGAATTGTCTCTTTTCGTTTTACTTGAGGGTAATGTTGAGAATATATATGCAACGTATCTAGGTGTATATAGTATATACAAAGTTGAAGTCACTAAAGAGAGTGCAACAAGTGTCGAAGTAGGAAAAACACATTCAAACCGTGGTTCATTCTTTTTTCACAGTGCAAATCTAACGTAGATGTAAATTATTTAGTCATTTTTACATTATTTAAAAAATTACGATTTTCAAAAATCAAATTTTTTACGTAGAACATTATAGTTTATTACTTTTTTTTTTAATTATTAATATTATAATTATTTTTCACAGATTTTTTTTAAATAATAAAGAAATGGCAAATAATTGAATTTTATTCACTTGATAAATAAATTATGTTAATTTTCAAAATTTTAATCCCATTATACATTAAAAACAAATAATCAATTTAATTGATAAATTATCATTTTACTGTTATTGTAATGTAAACAATAAAATTATTATTTTATTATTATTATAAACAATTAATTAATTATTGAAATTAATATTAATATAGAATATAATTACAAAATGATTGTTAGTACTGAATTCAAAAATTTGTTTCATTCATTATATAAGAATACCTACCTAAAATTTTCAATTTAAAATTTATTGTTGATGAAAATTAATTACTAAGACTTACAAGTCTTTTTGAATTTTTATAAAAAAAATAAATTTACAGACGAATTTGTAGTTAATAAAAAAAAGAACAAAAAGTAACGATAGTAATTTATAATACTTGGACTGTCTGCTCTATATGAGAGATTCTTTTTCAATCGCCCCAGCCCAAAAAGTCAATGTTCTGGGATTGGCTTCATACTTTGGTAAATTGTTCTCCTATATGATAGTAATAAATCCCTAAAATATAAACTAATTAAAAAAATATTTGTAGAAAGTAGAGGGGGTTGAAGTTTTGACGTTAAGGGTAACATTGTCATTTTCAAATCCGTTTAACTATGACAAAAGTTAATGGATTTTAATTTATCTATAATGAATTTTATTGCATTTTTCACGTACTTTTCAAAAATGTATACGAAATTTAAAAAAAAAAAATTTTAACCCCTTTTTTTTCAAAATCAACCCTTATTTTTCGATTTTCACCCCTTCGGGTATTTTTTTTTTTTTTTTTTTTATTTTCATTGGAAAGCTGAGGTTTTTTCCCATGAGCTATGTAAATATAAAAATGGGACAACAATAATTTTGTGAGTAACAGAATATTAAAGTAGGCGGTGCCGATAAGGGGTGTACCTGGAGATCATCTTTGAGGATTTAGATAGGCACCGCCTAATTTAATATTATGTTTCTCACAAAATTATTGTTGTCCCATTTTCATATTTACATAACTCATGGGAAAAAACCTCAGCTTTCCAATGAAAATAAAAAAAAAACAAAAAAAAATTCCCGAAGGGGTGAAAATCGAAAAATAAGGGTTGATTTTGAAAAAAAAGGGGTCAAAAAATTTTTTTTTTAAATTTTGTATACATTTTTGAAAAGTACGTGAAAAATGCAATAAAATTCATTATAGATAAATTAAAATCCATTAACTTTTGTCATAGTTATACAGATTTGAAAATGACAATGTTACCCTTAACGGCACCCTTATCGGCACCGCCTACTTTAATATTCTGTTTCTCACAAAATTATTGTTGTCCCATTTTCATATTTACATAGATCATCGGAAAAAACCTCAGCTTTCCAATGAAAATAAAAAAAAAAAAAAAAAAAATACCCGAAGGGGTGAAAATCGAAAAATAAGGGTTGATTTTGAAAAAAAAGGGGTTAAAAATTTTTTTTTTTAAATTTCGTATACATTTTTGAAAAGTACGTGAAAAATGCAATAAAATTCATTATAGATAAATTAAAATCCATTAACTTTTGTCATAGTTAAACGGATTTGAAAATGACAATGTTACCCTTAACGTCAAAACTTCAACCCCCTCTACTTTCTACAAATATGTTTTTAATGAGTTTATATTTTAGGGATTTATTACTATCATATAGGACAACAATTTACCAAAGTATGAAGCCAATCCCAGAACATTGACTTTTTGGGCTGGGGCGATTGAAAAAGAATCTCTCATATGTGAATTATTTTTGTCACACACTTTATGTATAATATAATTCCCTTGGAAAGCATGTTAAAATAGTTTCCATATGATTTTATAGATGTAGAATACTATAACATCTATATTTAATTTCCATATAATTATTTATCATTTTTATCGCTCTATTATAAAGTACATGGAGACTCTATATAGTCCAGAATTTATTATAACTATAAAAACCAATTTGTGTTTGTATACAATTTATATTTATATGTACTTGGTTTTAATTCGGCAAAGAATTTCGTAATGAAAGAATATTTTTGAAAGTCGGTGCATGAAAATATTTTAAAATATTATTTGTACATAATTAAAAAAAAATTTTTTTTAATTTAAATTAATAATAATTAAACAAATTTTTGTTTGTTTCATTTTACAAAACTGCATAAATAGTTTGAAAATTGTTACTTTAAAGAAGTTCCTAATAGAGTTGTGTCATGATATCGATTCAATCTCTTTTGAATCGTTTTCAATAATTTTTTTTTTTTTTATAATTGGGGAAAAAAATGGAAGAAATTTCTTAACTTTAAAAAAAAATTTTTTTTTGTTTTAAAATCACAAGAGTCTTATGTCGGAAGATTGTCAAGAAATTTGTTACACGGAAGTGTTTGGCGAAGTTGAGCATGATTTCGATGTCAATTTTTAAAATTAAAAGATAGCGGATCAAATATAGAGAAATGGTTTTTGAAAACTGTCAATGAATTCGTTATCAGCGACTTCAAAAAACCCGCCGAGCAACTATTTTCAAGGGAATTTGATCAAATTTTTCTTAAAAATCTTTCACCATATTAGTTTCGCCATTTTGAATTTTTTTAAAACTGATATCGGATTCGTAATCAGTGACCCAGAAAACCGCCCCGTGTAACAAGTTTCAATGGAATACATTAAGGTTATTATGCAATTCAACAATTTGTTTACAACAATTTTGTTAACAAACAATTGTATTTTCATTTCTTTTTAACATCCAACATCACGGTGCGCCACAAGGTGGTTTAAATAAAAATGAATTGGCACTTAAAAATTCTTTTTGATTATGATTCTTAGATGAATAACAAACATTTCTCAATAGTTTTTAAAATCAGTTTACGTGCCCGATTTAAATAAAATTGAGTTTTTATATAAAAACAGTGTTTTATGGGGAATCAGAATTTATTTAATCTAATAAATACTGTAATAAATGATAAAATAATTACTTATTTTCAATTTTACATATAAATAATTATATTGTTGTAGTGTTTGTGTCCAATTTTAAAAAATTAAATTATAATGTTAAAAGAACGATTTTAAGAGTGACAAAATTTATTTAAGAGAGTCGAATGGTCTCTGAAATTTTTTGGCAAGAAGAGACCTTTAATTATCGCTCTATAAAAACGGCACTAAACGTGAAAATGATAAACATTGATTTTAAAATACTTTCTTCTCGAAAGACGGACACTTTTTACAAAAGCAGCTAGAGATCCTTATCTTATATAAATTTCCTAAATCCTAAAGATTATATGAATCTATACAAAAACACGATTGCAAAACGAAAAGTAATATAATGACAGGTACATTACCTCCTGCCGCCGTCAGATGGCAGCAGCATGCAGGGCGCACAAAGTCGCAGCTGTTATTAGATTACTTTTCTACTTTTTGTTTTGCAGCCATGTTTTTCTATGAATTCGTACAGTCTTTTGGATTTAGGAAATTTATAAGATGAGGATTTTGGCTGATTTTGTTAAAAGTGTTCGTGTTTCGAGAAAAAAGTATTTTAAAATCAATACTATTTCACGTTCAGAGCAATAATTAAAGCTCTCTTCTTGCCAAAGAATTTCAGATACCGTTCGACACTCTTAATGCATAAATATAAAAACGAAACAAGAAAATAACTTCATTGTTAATAAATTTATATGAACCCAAATCTAAAACATCTATTATCTAAACGCATATAAGTATACATTAAATAAATTCTGGTTTCTCATAAAACACTATTTTTAAATATTTAAAACTCAATTTGTTTTAAATTGGGCACGTAAGCTGATTTTAAAACCTATTGAGAAAAGTTTTTTATTCATCTTAGAACCATAATCAAAAAGAATTTTTAAGTGCCAATTCATTTTTATTTAAACCTCCTTCTGGCTCACCGTGACATATTTATACGATTTTAAAAACAGAAAAAACTTTTTCTGAAAATATTAATTTTTTAAAAAAATTTTAATATGTGACGCATTTAGAAAAAAGGTATCTAAGCAAAAAATTTTAGGTTATTTTTAAAAATTTTAAGTAAAAATTGTAATGATCATAATTGTTTTTATTTTCTTCAATTATATTCGTTAATACAAATTGAATTCTGCACGTCTACCACCTGGTGGTACGCATATGAACTAAAGTAGCAGACGACAAAGTCACACCGGAGACCTGTTGCCGTGAAGACGGCAGAGAGATTCGTGAAGTCGTGCTTTCATCATATACTGCGCCATAATATAATAAATGTAGTTGTATGTACTTGAAATTTTTTCTATTGTGTAATTAAAGAATATTTCGATAATCCCTGTGTATATTTTACTACTATTACATAATAAAAAAAGGACTTTTAATCAAGATAAAACTATCGTAAACATAACCTATAATTTGTTTGCTTCTTAAATATACCTTCTTTCAGTGTGTATGATATTTTTTTTTTAAACATTTATAATGTTTATTGAACTTTTTCTCTAAATATTTGAATTAGTGAGAATTCGTTCGTCTTTGTAAAATCGAACAGGAATTTAATTCTGCTCAATAGAAATTGCAGAATCGAAAGAGATTAAATTGACACCATACCCTAACAGATCTATATCCAACATTGTAAAACAATGATTCTTAAATTATTAAAAAATTAGGCCATTAGAAACTAAAACCCAATTTTTTTTAGGTTTTTCTTTTTCTTTATTCCATCTAAAATATTAATATATATTCCATCTAATTTCACTTTCTCGAAATTGTACCCTTTTAGTGTCCGTTGCAAGATTAATTACTTGATATGATCACACACAATGTTTCTTTTAACATATACAATATTTCCAGAATATCTTTCTCTCTCTCTCTCTCTACATTATACAAATTCTCTCTATATAGATATAATAAATGTTCATTGTTAACACATTGATTTCCATTTCACCCATTTCTCGAAAAGAACTGGTGATTAATGAATATTCAGAACTGTATCATTAGAAGACAATGACAGTATAAGTATATTATCACCGAAAAGGGAAAAAAAAAATTCTTTAGACCTGTGTCAGTAGAGTATGTTGTGCACCATTTTTCAAAACATCCTTATCCCTTATCTCTTGCTCGTCCTGGTCTCGTGATCCACTATTAATTGTGATATTTGTCCTCGATGTCATTGTGACACCAGTTGTTGATGTTTTACTAATTAGTAAACCTCGTTCATCTTCTTCTTCTTCAAGTTCAGCTTTCGATTGTGCCGATACAACCACTCGATCAGCTTGTAGTCTCTCATTATTACCTTTATTCTTCCTTGGAAAGACACTATTTTCAAAATGAAGATTTGCATTAACTTCCTTACTGGCGGTGCATGTGCATGCTTTCGCAAAACTCTTACGAAAATTATCACTGAGAAATGCATAAAGAATTGGATTCATAGCACTATTACAATATGAGAATACACCAGCCATGAGAAATATTGTAATTGTCAATTCCGATTGACATTCATTCGGTTCAGTGTAGATGAGTGACATTTGCGTTATCCAATATGGTGCCCAACAAAAGATATATGCCGCTATGACAGTCAATACCATAATTGTGACTTTTCTATTGGAACGTCGTCTATCGTTGGATCTATTTTGTGGTCCAACTGTTTGTAATTTTCTCAATACGAGAATATAAAAGACCAATACAAGTGTCAATGGAATTGCATAGCCAAGGACAAATGTATAAATTGTAAATGTTGTTTGACCACCATGTTCATTGGGCCAATAAATATTGCAACTTAGCGAACCATTTTCACTTGGCAATGCATTGGCATAAAGAAACACTGGTATCATAAATAATGCGCTCATTAACCATGCGCCAAGTGATACAATTCTTGAGATAAATGGCGTACGAAATTGTGGCGATGATATTGGATGACATACGGCAATATATCGATCGGCGCTCATAATAAAAATGAAAATACTACTTGTAAATTGATTGATACTAGTTGATGTCATGTAAATTTTACACATTACTGTGCCAAATGTCCATGCACCCACTGACATTGTTGTCAATAGAAATGGAATTCCAATTAAGAAACATTCATCAGCTACGGCTAAATTGAGAATATAAATATTGGTGACTGTTTGCATTTTTGAAAAGCGTGCAACTACATAAATCACCATTGTATTACCAACAAGACCTGCAATACAAACACCCGAATAGATGACTTGAGCTATTAATGATGTTATTGAAAAGTTCGTTTGGCAGTTGTTGATTGTTGAATTGGTGGTATTGAACCCCTCGCTTAATGTGACGTTCATCATGATAAATTGGGAAAATATTTCTTCTTTTTCTTCTTTATTATTTTTTTTTTTTTCAATTTAGGAATTCTCAATTCTTTAAATTCTATTTTTTAATGAGTTCATCCAATTTTCAAATGGGAATATTCGTTGCTGCGGTAATGATCGCGACGACGATGGCGCCATTTCATCTTTTTTTTAATGTCAATCACCTTTTTTCTAATTTCCATCAATTAGAACTGCAATCTGAAAAATAATTAAAATTCAAATTTAATGAAAATAAAGTATAATATTGATTATTATAGTATATCTACCCTTATGAAAAATAATTACTGGCGTAATTATTGAGATAACTATGGGGATAATTACTGGAAAAACTATACTGTATTAATTACTGGAAACTGCAGTAATTTTTTTTCGAAATGTATTTCTTTAGTACAACAATTTTTTTTAATTTCAATGAAATTGTAATTTTGTGTTAAAAAGAGGACATTTAAATGTCATTTCAAGATCCCTTATAAAAAAATTATAATTTTTTCACATAAATTCAGTGAAAAATAACATTTAACAGCTGAAAAATAGTATTTCGGTATGTCCTATAACTTCTGAGTATCAAACTTTAAAGTATTATGGCTCATAAAAACAGAACTATTTTAAAATATTTAATATTATCGTCGGAATTTTCAGTTAAATCAATATAACAATAATAACAATTATTGAAATATAAATGTTCTCAAAATTCTCTATGCGATCAAGTCATCAGATAAACTGTTATTAAAAAACTATAAAGAGTGCACTTTTTAACTTCAATTTACCAGGAAATTAAAGAAAAAAACTTCTAACTTCCGTAGTCCATAATAAAAAATAGAAAAAAAACTTAGGTTACATGACTAGTAGCGCCACCTGCAACTGAGGTGTCATTTGGAAGTCAAGCGAACTTACTATTTTGTACAGTCGATGCATCGGAGTGCAAGTGATAATTTTAGAATTTTAATAGGAGCAATAGTCAAAAACTAATAAATACTTACAGATAGGAATAACAAAACTTACTGACAATTAAGCAAATTATGCATTTTCGAGGTGTGACGTCACATAAAGTCACCGGTAGAGAAAGCAATTAATCCAAATGTAAAAAATAAATCACCATTTGAAAGATAATTTAATTACCTTTCAAACCATTGGTCAACCAATAAAATCCATTCAAAATTGTCAGAGTTACAGTCGATCAAAGTTGAAATTTCAAGCAAATTTTAATAATTTTTAGACATTCGTCTAACTTTCGCTAATTTTTTCAAAGTCAAACAATCAAAAAAAAGGTAAGTTTTAATTTTTTTAATAATAATATATTTAATTACGAAACTTTTAAGCTTTTATAGACCTCGATCGGATAAAAAATGACAATTCTACACTAGATTTATTGAACAAAGTACTTTTCACTTTTAGTATATTTTAGTATATTTTCAAGTTAAGCGAAGCTCACCAAAATGAGTACTCGGGGGTTTTCGGGGTCGCTGATTACGAATTCGAGGTCAGTTTTTCAAAATTCAAAATGGCGGATCCAATATGGCGGACAAAATTTTAGTAATTAGAGCTAAGTACACCAAAATGAGTACTTGGGGGTTTTCATGGTCGCTAATTACGAATCTGAGTGCAGTTTTTCAAAATTCATTTCTAATTATTAAAATTTTGTCCGCCATATTGGATCCGCCATTTTGAATTAGATTCCGTGTTTATAAATTGTATCTATAATCCCAAAGTAGATTGTGAATTATTATTTTAATACCAAAATAGATTAAAATAAGATCCAACGCTTTAATTATATAAAAAAGCCATGGAATGATTAAAATTGCAAACTTTCAAAAAATAAGTTTTAAAACGATTATTTTTACCAAATTGAAAAAAAATTTAACTGAAAAAAAAATTATTTTAAAGTTTAATGGTATTAATTCAATCTGCAATATTTTGTAATACTTCATAGTTTACATATTCTATTAGATTTAAATTTTTATTCACCTTCAAAAACTTATTTGTTCGCAAATTTCCAATTGGTTCTATTAGGATTCTGCTGGGATATAAGAAAAGAAATTTGTATAAATTAGATATTCTCTAAAAGTCTTCAATATGATTCTATTATGATAAAATATTGAATGAATTGATCTGAGATTTTGTTGAGATGTCTGAAATATAAAGATGAAGAAAAGTGATATGCTGTTGATATTTTGTTAAAGTAATTATCATAAAATATTTGGAAATTGATAGACGTTGAAATTTTTAAGCTATCTCTTAACGCATGCGAAGTAAATTAAAAAAACTGATTTTTCTTTAAAAGTCCATATCTTAAAAAGACCTATCGCGATTGAGTTCAAATTTACAGAAAATGAAGATTGGATTATTGGACAAATAAAGAATATTTATCACGCTGAACAAATAGCAAAAATCGTTGTCATGCAAAAATTACAATTTAAAAAAGATTTTCAAAAAAGAATGTCTTCATATAAAAGTGTTACTACGTTTTTTTAATGGTCAGATAATTCAGTTTTTTTAAATGTTTTAATTTTGAAAATACTATGTTGCGTGAATAAATCTCCGATTCAATCAAATGATAAATACAGACTCAATCATATGAAAGTTGTTAAATTATTTGATGGAATATTCGCATAAGAATTTATAATACTATAAATATCCGAGTGGTGTAATACGCTTAATACATTTGATATTATGGATAATGACAGTATAATCCATTTTCCTATTAAAAATTGATAAATATGATAAAATAAAGTGTCAAAATACCTAGTCGATCGGAAATTTTCCGAGGATCCCGAATTTGGCTTCAGATTTTTTTTCTACAGCGGCACATGTGTACAAAAATGAATGAACTGCAGTAAATAACTAAAAAAATTGATTTATCGCACTTTTTTGTAAATATATAGTAAAAAAAACTAAAAAAAAAAAACCCAATTTTGTTTTATGACTATTTTAAAGTATGAACTTTCAACTATCTTTCTTAAAAATTTGAACTAAATCGTGATAGGTGTTTTTAAGATATGGACTTTTAAAGAAAAGGCAGTTTTTCAATTTATTGCGCATGCGTTAAGAGTTACCTTAAAAATTCCAACGTCAATCGATTTCTTGGACAATTTCCTATCGAATAGCATATTTACAATATTTTTTTCGACAAAAACCACAACTTTTAGAGGGAAAATTGATTTTTCAACCTAGATTTAAAAAAATTACATTTTTTCCTAAATTTACGATTGGGGGACTTTTTTATGAGATAGAAACTTAAAATTCTGGTTAGTCAAGTTATTTTATGGTAGAAACGACCAAAAAAATTACAGCCAAATGCGAAGTGTGCCAAATGCGTTGTACAAAGTGTGTGTTCTTGGCATGGAATCACCCTTTGAAGCATACATTTTTCTTTAACAGGAATTTATCTTTGAAGTGCATTATAGGGGGTTTTAAGAGTCGCTGATTACGAATCCGATGACAGATTTTAAAAATTTTCAAAATTCAAAATGGCGGATCCAATATGGCGGACAATTTTTTTTAAATTGATAATATCCGCTCAAAACTGGTTACTCAGGGGTTTTCGGGATCGCTGATTACGAATCCGATGTCTGTTTTATGAAATTCAAAATGGCGGATCCAATATGGCGGACAATTTTTTTACAAATTGTTCAAATTTGCTCGAAACTTGTAACGAATTTTGATATTAGTCGGGGATCGCCGAATAGATTGTTACGTGTATGTAAATCTCGTGCGTAATCGGTAGTAATCCGATTACTACCGAATGAAAGAAAGCGATATGAGCGGTATTGTGTGTGTCGCGAATATTAGAATCGCAAGAGTCGCGCTGCGACGAGCATAGTATACCCGTTAGCGGGGTAAGTAAATTGTAATTGTATTAAACGAAAAAGTGTAGCGGGATCTAATTGATTTTATTGTATAATTTGTACAGTCCAGGTGTGGGCGGAAACAAGGTGGATATTCCTTTTTTTTTATCGTTGCTTTGGAAGCGGGGATTAAACCTCTGTTTGAAGCGTCGCAAGTTGGTGACCACCTGTTTATTTCTACATATCAAATCTAGCCTTGTGAGAATTTGTCTCAAAACAATATTCGAAGGAAATAACGACACGAGATTCTCTGAGTTCGATTCGGCCGAGATTCGTCTTATTAATTGTATGTTTGACCAAGATTATACTGAAATAATCCAAAAATTGTGACTGACGCTCATCCAAAAGAGAACTCTATCTCCACGTGTCTGCGCTTCTTGTTCATCAAATTCCGAGAAATATATATGAGATAAGTAAAAACAAAAATAACTTATTCTTGCGATTCAAATTGTATATTTTAAATTTATGCTTTTACACACAAATACCAAATTGATAGATTTTACTAAAAATATATATTGTTAAATTAAATTTCAAGCTTTTGTTCACGTATGATTGTGGAGTGACTAATATAAGTACGAATCTGAATATTGTATAGAATTTTTTTTAATATTGTCAAATCCAAATAAATTCGAACTCACATTTAAATTTGATTTTTTTGTTATAATATCTGTTTAAAAAATTAATAGGTTACAAACTGGTTACTCAGGGGTTTTCGGGGTCGCTGATTACGAATCCGATGTCAGTTTTTCAAAATTCAAAATGGCGGATCCAATATAGCGGACAATTTTGTTAAAATTAATCAAATTGATCACAGACACACACAAAAGCGCCATTTTGAATTATAAAAATCCAAAGTCATATTCAAAAACAGCGACATCAAAAACACCGTAGTAACAAGTTTCAAGCAAATCCGATCAATTTTTCATTTTGTCATCCGCCATTTGGAATTTTGAAAGTCCAACGTCATATTCGTAATCAGCGACCTCCTAAACCCCCGAATAACAAGTTTTAAGCAAATCCGATCAATTCTTCATTTTGTCATCCGCCATATTGGATCAGCCATTTTGAATTTTGATAATCCAACATCGTGTTCGTAACGAGCGACCCAAAAACCCCCCGAGTAACAAGTTCCAAGCCATTCCTATTAATTTTTCATTTTCTTATCCGCCATATTGGATCCGCCATTTTGAATTTTGAAAATCTAACGTCATATTCGTAATCAGCGCCCCCAAAAACCCACGAGTTACAAGTTTCAAGGAAATCCGATCAATTTTTCATTTTGTTGTCCGCCATATAGGAACCGCCATTTTGAATTTTGAAAATCTGATGCCAGATTCGTAAGCAGCGACCCCG